TGTATTAAAAGCTTTGACTCATTGACTAATTGCGAACACTTGCCCTAGTTTGCAATTAGTTAGAAAAGCCCTCTTTTAAAAACACATCCGTATTCTTTTCCAAGGAAAGGTGGATTTACCTTTAATCAGACAAGAGCTTAGGAACAGCACAAATTAAAGTATACGTAGGTTATCTTCTTGCTCTAGGGGATGCACACCACTGTCTGCATTCTTGTGGAGTAATAATGAGATACCATAACCAAACAGTAGAAGATGCGTGTCAGATGGTTCTCCAATAACATTAGAAAAAAAGCAGCTGATGTATGGGATATTGAAGGCAGATTAAGTTGTTAATGTATATTAGTATATTCTTAATTTCCTTTTAATTGAAAAAGACATATTGACTTTAATTAGAACCATTTCACAGGAACTGTCAATTAGCACATGTCAAACTAGTTAATTCAGAACAGAATTCTTTTAATTAGGGTCTGCTTTCCTTTAACTGTGGGGCCAATGAAATCAGCCTTTCCTTATCAAGATTTTAAATGTCTCTAAGACATACAATACAAATGTAGTCTCTTATCTATTATTAGAAGCCCATATGGGTAACATTAAAATGATGATGTTGGCATTGTTCATGCAGCACAAATCAGAGTTTCCTTTATGACGGTTTGAAAAAAAAATGGCTTTGAACAAAGACTGTTTTAAATACACAGATTTATCCTACTTTAAAGAGACTACAAAATTTATGACATGCATGTTCACATTTAAAGTATTATTTAGTACGTCTGCTCAAATAAATGGGCCTATTCAAACGTTTTGTGTGTTCTATCAGCTAAAGACACATAAAACATTTTCAGGGCATGCAGTAATGCTCTTCCCTTAAATGAACTGTAATCAAAAAGGGAAAACATTCTCAATGATTTTTTTGGCCAGGATAAAAACAGCATTATTAACTTTCATTGCATGTAAAGATTTAACACCAATTGCTGATGCAGTGGTTGAAAACACTAGTGAGCTAATGTGATTGTAATAGTCAGGCCATATATAATCTGAGTCTCGACTTTCACGTTACAGTTTCTAAATTTGCCTGAGTTTGCTTATGTACCTTGATTCATAGCTGGTACCAGGAAGTCCTTCTCTCTTGGTCTTCCAATGATGCTGTGAGCAGCACTTATGATATTGGTGACGTATCATTAAATAAAAGAACAGCTGATAAAAATATAACAAAAATGTAAAAAGAATTAAAGGGAAATCTAGACTTAATTTTATCAAATGAGGTTTAGCCACTGTTTTACTGACCTATATCAACTGCGGATTACAGAGATTAGTGAAAGGAATACTTAATAGCTGAACTGTGGATTCCAAAGAGGATTATCTGGTAAGATATTTTATGTATCCTGATGCTTTGTTGAACATATTAGGAGCCTGATTATGGGCCTGAGTAACTGTACAATAACAACAACTTCTTTTTTCCAAAATGGAGGACAAACTGAGTATACCAAAATGAAAAGGATTCCAGAAGTACGCTTTGCCTAGTATGCTAATCATAGTAGCTTCTGATAGGGGAACTGTTTTAGTATAGGACTTGTAACATAAATTGCAGGAAGAACTGCACTAACACATTTAAAAAGGATTTTTGCAAAGGCTGCAAGCAGTGGGGGAACTTTGACTTGAGAAATTCTCAAATTGAAGAACTGGAATTTCTGTAGGTCACAAAAGAATGTCTTCAAACACCACACTTCACTGCTGACCACTGTATATGAGGTATAGCTTGAGTACAACTTAACAACTGTATCATTACTTTTTGTGTTAGCTATTTACAATTGCATTTTAGAATACCTGCTAAAATATATTTTAGAAGATCTTTATAGTCATTCATTAATCCTATTGTGGCCCATTTTAAATCTCTGCTTATCAGTTTAACTACTTACCATAATTTAGAATTCATCCTTAAGCAGATCTAAGGCACGTTGGCTCTGAATTGCATAAAACAACCTCCGTTATGCCACATGAAAAAACAATGCTTTGGATTTTGAACATAAAACTTTGCTTGTATTATATTATTTATTTGAAATAGGTAATTACAGGAGCCTATTTTGTATAGTCCATATTTTGATAAAACTTTAATATAGATTGGGGATATGAAGTACTGGTATACTTATAATACAGTATATGCAGTGGCAAGTTGCTGACATTGCCACTATTGTATTTACACCCTTTTAACTGTAGGAAATAATGTTTTATTGTGTCAACAAATGAGATTAAACTAATTAATTGTTACTTACCCTGTGAGGGTACTATGTTCTTATCCATATTTTACAGATGGGTCAACTGAGAAAGAGAGGCAAAGAAAGAAAATGACTGACACAAGTCAATCCAGAAGAACTCTGTCCAGGAACTCCTAGCTCTCAGCCCCCTATGCACTCTCTGAGGATATACTAATAATTTGCTACATGTCTCAAAGCAGCTAAGCAAGTATTGCGTACCTATAGAAGGGCAATGCATTTTTTTCTCATGTCTATTCATTGTGCAGCAGTAGCACTAATATTTACACATTTATGGATCTCATGACTAAGCAGCAAGCTCTGATTTCAATTAAATCTGACTAGTTCTGATAGCAAAAATCATTATAGAACTTCAAAAATCCTGGCACTGTGGTAGGATCCTTACAATTATCTATATAATATCTTTCAGCTCCTGTTGGCTCCTTGATCTTCTATGGCAATCCCAACCCCTCTGCTAACTTTGGTCTATGAAAAGTTGACCCTTGAGGCCTAATATTTAAAAAAATATGCTAAAATGCTACAAGAGAGAATGGATTTTACCCAGTTTGATATCCTTTCGGGACTAGGTACTTAATAAAAATTGCATTTTTACTAAGTGATTGGCCGTTTGAATCATGTACTATTCATGTATTGTTCATGAATCAAACCAAAAGCCATTTAAAAATGACTAGCATTAGGGAAACTTAATAGCTTTTTAACAGATTATTTAAATGACTGTAGCTGTGATTTCCAATCATTTTTATCCAAACAGCTATGCTGTGGCAGAACTCTCTCTGAGAACTTTCTGATTAAACTCTTTTGTTGATGGATTTAGGAAATTTTTTAGAAAGGAAATTTCTCAATTATGGATTCATCTTTCAGAACCTTCATCTGAAGCTTGTAACAATTTGACCAAGCCCAGCTGAAAGCACTGATGGTTGAGGGATTCATACTACTTTGTGAATCATAGCTAATAGAGCAGCTAAGTACTTCTGAGCAGTTTGTGCAGACTAACCAGCCTGTAGTTCACTTTCCTAGCAGTTTCTTGCCTCAGTTTCCTGCACATCATATATGTGGAGAGTATTTTGACAGTTTTCCAACAACATGTATAACTTTAGATGGGTTTTCTTATTTCAGATAATCAACATTTCTAATGTCTGGACTGGTATCATGTTAGTATTATAATTCCAGATTTTTTTTGCGGCATCTACATTTCTTTGCTTGTATCCTTGACTTAATTTTCCCAGTGGTTAGACTCTAAACCCTGAGCCACTCTTCAAAAATAACTTCTGATACTGACAACTGCATTTCTCATTCATACTCATGCTATACAACTGTATATATTAATTTACAGCCAGCCAAAACTGCAAAAACCTCACAAAAAATCTCCAAGCAAACTCCCTGCATAGTAGATGCATGGCATTATTGTCTACATTTCACAGGTGAAAAAAAAATGAGGCTTGGAAAGTTATATGCATCTCCAAAGACTCCATAGCAAGTCCAGGGACAGAGGAAGTACCTACTGTAAGACTGGGTACATTGATTTAGACCAGCACTTTTCATTATTTGAATAGCCTAGGGCATATCTTTATAAAGGGGTTTTCTTGTGGACATTTCTCTCCTTCCACTTAATTGCATGAGGTGCATAAAAACGTTTGTAGCACCCAGTCTACGATCGCAAGGCTTACTTTAAACTGAGTGATCATAGACCAGGAATGGCCTGTACAGCTGCTCACCAGTGCTGGAATGTGTGCAGGAATCTGGTGTAAGTAACTTGGGAGAGTGGGGGAGCTAGTGGGTTCGTGGGGGGATTTGGTAGGTCTGTAGGGGAGTTTGGTGGGTCCATGGTGTGCATTGTCTGTCTGGAGGTAGAAAGGTTGGGGGGCTAAAACTAGGCAGGGTTGGCGGGTAGGAAGAGCATAGCCCTAGGGCTGGGGTGAGCGGCTGGGCTCTCTCAGCCCTGAGACTGCATTCTGAATGCAGTTCTGACATTTGATAGAATGGGTTAACCAATTCCTGATCTAAATTAGTTTATCTACTCAGGTGAACTAACTTACATTGGGCCTGCCATTTTTGGCCTGATTTAAACCTCCCCAAATGCCTGAACAAATGGGCATTTAGATTGACCTAACCCTAGTTAGGTCGATTTAAATGTAACATCTGTCTAGACCGTTTCGTGTGATCCTATAATATCCTTATCTCTACTGTTGAAATTGCTTACACAGACAAGTGATATTAGAGAAATTCCAAGTTTTCTTGTATTTGTTGTTAATACTGCTGAATATCTAGCAACAACAAGGATAGAAAGTGCTACATGATCAGCCAGCAACTCTCTAACCACTAGCAAGTGGTCTGCGGGCCATCAGGTGGCTCAGCGATCAGAGACTGGGAACCACTACTTCATTTCACACTGTATCTAGGCGCTTGTTCCTCAAGGCCACATCACTTCATTCTAGACTCAGAGCAATGTTAACTAATCCTTTATTAAACAATTCTCCAAGCACAACTAAAGCATTTGAGTTGTTAACATATATAATAAGTTATATTTAAGAAGGTTTCAAAGCAGCACATTGTATTTTGTAGTAAAGTCGTAAAAATATGCTAACATGGTAATATCTAATGAGGGAAATGTTGCATGCAGATGTCTGTTTGCCTATTATCCCATAAAATGACTGTATATTTTTATTTATATGAGTAACATTAGACACAAACATGTTACCAAAAATGCATTCGTTTAGGAAAATGTATAAACACAACATGAGTCTAATATAAAAACTGTTTTAGAACAGGATTTTAGGGTTTATAAAATGGATAGAGATTTTAAAAAATAATTGTCTGCAAATACATTTTTTTTTTACTTGTAATGAGACAGAAATATAGGTTCTCAGCCGTTATATTATTTCTGATATAGCAGAGAAGTGAAATTTGTGTATAATGCTATATATATCTTTTCTAAGATGCAAAGGAGTATAATTTTATTTTTGTTGTATGTGAAGGCTCTGTCTAGGCACATTGGCCACCAATTTCATTTTTTTTGCAGAGCATGGATTGTAAAGTCACATATCCTTAAGTTAATGTAAAGGGCATAAGAAAGAAAAGAGAGAGCATAATTTTTGTTGTTGCTGTTGTCATTTGAAATTTCCATAGTGTCTGTGCACATTGGGCACCATTTCATTTTTATTGTGCTGCACTGATAGCAATGTCACATATCATTAAGTTAACACCGAGTAAGTAAAAAAGAAAAACAGAATTTTTTGCTGCTATTACTGTTCTTTGAAATTTTTCTACTCTGTACATATTTTTGTAGGAAGGAAGAAGTACCAGCAATTTTAATATATAGCTAAAAAGAAGCTCTATTGTTTTTTGGGGTTTGTTTTTTTTTTTTTGCACTGCTCTGTGATGCAGTGGTTAGAAACATAATGCTATTAATATATCCTATCCCTGCGATGAAGATTTTGTGATGTGCTATTCTTCCATTTTTTGAAAAATATCCCACTCCCGTATTTCTTAACCCCAGCACAATTTATTAAAATGCTACCTTATCTGCCTTAATACAGTTCCTGTGTCCACCGTTCAATGAGTCCTTTATGTCCTGAAGGGGAGGCATAACCAAGGCTTTGGGGAACAGTGGGTTCATAAGTCATAGAAATCATAGAGAAATAGTGCTGAAAGGGACTTCCAGAGGTCATTCAGTCCAACCCCCTGCCTGAGGCAGGATCATCCCTATCCAAACCATCTCATACAAGCTATAATCTAAAGTTTTTGTAAAACTGTCATCAACCCTGACAAAACACAAGACATAATGCCCTAACCTACCACAGGTTAAGGAGTTAATGTCCTGCTTCTAAAAAAGGTTGTTAACATATGCTCAAGAGATCCCAGGTAGAGAGCCATGCCCCCCACTACAGAGGAAGGCTAAAACCCTCACAGTCCATGCTAATCTGACCATGGGGTAAATTTCCTTCCTGACCCCAAATATAACAATCAGTCTGACCCTGAGTAGAAGGGCAAGACCTTCTAGTTGGGAATCTGCAGCCTTGGTGCTGGCAGGATTATATAGATTAGTTTTAAACTCTGATACACAGACACAACTGCTATTAAGGTGTAGTATGGTGAATACATTGCATTTTATTGTCTTTATTTCTGAGGGAAGAATTGTACTGTTTATCTATTCTAATCTTGATCATTTGGGACTAAGATTTAGGCTCTACATTGGGACTCTACAACTGAAATCCTTGATGTTGGTCATATAACCTACTGTCCATTTTAGAGGAGTTATCTCTAGAAAGGCAGAAGATCAGCAGGCCAACTCCTATAAATCAAACTTCATGCTTATTTCTGCAATCAATAGTTACAGATTCTAGGCTAGATTCTCTGGTGCATTCCTGTCCTTTTCTGTTGCTCTTCTAGTATAAATGTGTAAGTGGCCTGTGAAGCAGTTTGATGGTCACAGCTGGTGCAGAGCTGGCATTCTTAGCTTCTTTGGCATCCTCCTCCTTCTGACTCAGGCGCAGAATACAGATCTGGGCCAAGTGTGTTGGAAGACATGTTTGGAGCATATTATGCCCCAGACCACTGCTAGTTGAAATAGGTTAGAGAGATGAGTGAGGCCCTATGTGGAATGAGTGAGGATCTGGTCTGAGAATCAGGGAGCCATATAACATCCACCCTCTGGTCCACCAAGAAGAGCTTTGGTGCTGCAGATAATCTAGACCACTATATATTAGTGGAGTCTTAATGAAACAGACATGCCCATGATACAGTGGCTTAGGGCCTAACTTTCGTGTATAGTAGAGGTCATTTCGCCATGTCAGAAATGGTGAACACAACAGGCTACATCACAATACAGGCTACAAAATAGGCTACATCACAATAAGGAACTCGAATACCCAGATAAGTTCAGACTAGCTACCATGCATGTTTTTATATATTTTCCTTTGTTGGAAAGCCTCCTCTTCTCCCCCCCACTACTATGGTTACTTATATACAACACCCAAGCTGAACCTCCAGAACATCCACAGTGAAAGAGGAATCATAAAAGACATTCATGGGGCCAACCATTACATCGGAAAAGAATACACCAGTTTCTCTACTGCTGGTGTTCTTTGGATTGTGTCTAGGAAATGGACATTTCACTATGAGCAGCCCAGCCAAAGTGTTGGTTGCTAACTTGAGAAAGGCCAGTAATATTATGTAACATTGCTAATTCTGATGCTGGTCTCCTGTTTCTCTGGACAAGACTTGAACCAGAGATAACAGCAGTGAAAGATTTTATAGTGGGTGTTGGAAAGGATAGGATACTGCAGCAGTTTCTGAAGAAATGCTGTAACGGGAGTATACTGCTGAGTTCTCCATCTGAAAAGGAAACCCAGAATCCCCATTCTTAGGAACCAGCAAGAAAAAAAAAAGAAGCATGAGAGGAGTTTGCCATATATCTGATTTGTATGAACCTTGTTGTAGCTTATTTTTAAAATTCTCTATATGTTTTTAGGTTTATATACAGTAGAATCTGGATCATACGTATCACTGCTTAGTTCACAGTGGGTTGCTGAATAAAGGACACTGTTCAGATGTTTGCCGTGGCTTTTACTTCAAAGGACAACACTTCTCCAATCAACTAGAGCTCATCAGCAATCCCAAAGAGCTGTTTGTTGCTGTCCTATATCCTCCCGGCTGGTTCACAATTCCTCCTCTTCACAGGAGGTAAGGAATCTAAACCTGCAAAGAACTGAATTTTATAGTATCTTCCTCTCAGCTCTTTTGTATTACACTGGCTTGGGCCCAAGCATTTCCAGTTAGACTTTATACTGGAAATAAGCTCAATGGACATCATTCTTTTATGCTGTGCACCCTGTGCAGTCATTTATCCCAGAGCAAAGTGGGTAAAACATTCCTATTCTGTTATGGTGGTATTTCACACTGACATTGTATTGGATTACATGACAGCACAAGAAAGCAGTAGAGAACTGGGGTCTAACTTGGAGTATATTTTAATACAATTTTTCATGTGTCTGGTTTTAGAAGGCCTTTCAAAATATCACCAGACCGTTTCCTGAATTTTAGTGCTAGTAGTCATCACAAAGACTGACATTAGATGGATTTTACAGTGGAAAGCTTTAATGGATAGGTTTTCTGAATATGGCAAATCGATCGCCAAAATAAATTTCTAACCATCTACTTTTAGTAGCATTAGATGATGTCATACCCATGATGCTCTGGGAAATATGGAAGAGGCAAGGATTTTTGTGAACATTATCTTTTATTGGACGAACTGCATAGATTGGGAGAGATTTAGACATGTTTCTGGGCACAAATTACCCTTCCTCAAGTCTGAAAAGGCACAAAAACTACCCGAAAGCTATACAAAAACTACACAGTGGAATGAACAACCACAGGAAAAAGATTAAGGACAGAGACACATGAATATAGATAGAATACTTTTCACAGAACAACTGTTCCCTTTACGATCTCACAATTCTCATGCTTAAGGGGAAGTTACAAGACATCTTCAGAAGAGGGTCCTGGGAACAAAAATTCATAAGCTCCTGTATACTAAAAACCAGAGACTCTTGTCTGTTAGCTACTCCTGATAATAACTCTTTTTTCCTACTTCACACTCCTTCTCTATTCATCCAGACAGACTGTTTTGGGATTTTTTTTTAACCTATGGAAATTTCACCCAGGCCAGTGGTCTATCTGCTACTTAGCTCATACTGTCTGCCTTTTTCTCACACCTGAGGAACTGTTCTTTGTGCCTAAATGTTTGTCTAAATCTCTACCAGCTATGCAGTTGGTCCAATAAGAGATGTTAACCACAAAATCCCTGCTTCTAACAACCCACTTGCAATTATTTTAGAATCTACTGTCAATTGAACTTAATACACTAAAGTAAACCGAGTTAAATAAGCAGGGCTCAAGCTGGTCCACTATTTGTAAAGTCTCTAATTTATTTGTTCTATCATAACCAAGTACAATTGAAAGTACTGGCTCTTTCTGAAGTTGAAACTTCTATTTAAGAACTGGTCCTAGGATTCTTCAGAAAGCCATAGTTGCTGAGGTACAAGCAGCCTATTCCACAGTGTTGTAACCAAGAACTTGCTTTATACATGGGATGGGATTGGGCATATGGAAAACCATGTCCCAAAAAAACAGTAGCAAGTTGACAAGGACCAACCCAATGTGAAGCAAAATGTAGAGCAATTACTGTGCTGTTGATATGAAAAGATAATACTGTTTGTTTCCCTTGGTTTTTGCTGGGTGATACATTAGAAAACATGAGTCAAATGATGCGCTCCTTTCTCACCCATTCTTCAGGAAAAGCTGTATTAACAGAACTCCTGCCTGAGTAGGGCCCTTACATAGTGAGCTAATTTTCACCCTTTCATGAAAAGAAGTCATTATAATTTTTTCAGCAAATTAACCCTACGTGTATTAAAAACTATTAAGTCTGGTAATCTTTCTTGTAAATTTGTATTTAAAACCTATTATGAGATTAAACCAGTAAATTATCTGTAGTTCTAGAAAATGTCTTCAAACTTCAGTTATAAAGAAATGTATTAAAGCAAACATTCAGATTTAATTGATGATGGCATCATATAATGTCTAATGTGGAGCAGAAAGCTCAGAACAAATCTATTAGCATCCAACCAAATCCTGAAGTCCTTACTCAGCTTTGGCAGTCATTTCAGTGGATACTGATGTGAATAAGAATTGAGTTGAAACTGAATTCATAACCTGAAGGTTTGATTTGATAGTATTAGTTTGTTGCTGATTATTTATATTGGTATTACAACTGAATAGCTTATTTAATTGCTACAATCTGTTCTATTATGCATGGTTACTGTGAGAGAACTGAATTTATCAGTTAGTTAAAACTATTTGCCTTTACTTGGTGAAATAATGGCAATGCATTTACATTGGATTGCTTATTGTCACAGTTTACTTTGTGTAACTAACTCAAGTGTAATGAATCATCTCTGATTTTTTGGAGAAAAATAGAAATACTAAAATAAAAACTATTTAAAACAGCAGGTTTAAATGTATGATAATTAATAACTAATTAAAAATAAATTGCATTTCTTTGTGACAAGTATGATGAATCATCCCAGAAATTTTGGAGAAAAATGGAAACACTCAAATAAAAGTCTGTTTAAATATATTACAATAATTAATAACCAATTAAAAATAAATTGCATTTCTTAGTGACATTTTAATACATGTAATAGAAAAAAAATTACAATAATTAACCAAAATGTGGCCAATTCACATACCTCAAGGAAAAGCTGACCTGGACAAAAATCAGATGGTCATAACAGTGGTTCCTTCCAAGTCCGTCTAAAAATGTGAAATCAGTTTTAAGCATAGCTTCTGAAAAATAAAAACTGAAACATCCTTGAACCTGTCTTAAAGGAGTCAGAGATGTCCTTTGACTGCTATTTAAGGAAAAAAAGTTGTAAAGAATCAGGACTTTAACTTGTTGGTCTATTTGCTGAAGAAGATAATCTTCCAGGACATTCAAAACAGTTCTATTTTTAATTACGAATACTTAAATACATTTGCATTTTACTGATAAAACACATTAGATGTGACCAGTTTACAGAGAACTTGCAGGGTTTTTTTCCCTGGGCTGTGCTGCTTTGTAGCTGAAAGGGAAATGATCATCTCCTTGCCTGTCAGAGTGTACCATTTCATGGGTACCATTTAGTTTGATCCCTATGCTGTACATATCAGTTGAATTAATGTACTGTGTTTCAGTGACTCTGCATGTTGGCCCACACTTGCTGTGCTCTCTCTATCTGGCAGATTCAGCCAAGAGATAGACCAGGAAGGTAAAGTACAAAGCCCACTGGATACTGTCCCTTTCTCACCAAATGGGCTTTCCAGCCAGTGATGGAGAAGGATTGCTTCTAACACAAGAATCAGGAAAGGGCAAGACTGATTGCAAGGTAATTTTTTCTTGTAAATAAGATGCAGTCCATAGGTCAAACTGTATGACCTATGTCCTGCATGCTCCTCCCTAGTTAAGAAGAAAAGCCAAGTGACCACAACCATTGAGGAACTACAGAGTGTATGTGGCAAGGAGCTCATAGCTTGAGCTCTTCTCAGAGATGAATATCTACCTTGCTCTGCAGAGGGAGATTTTTAAAAAAAATCATGTTTCAGGCACATATAGTAGTTTCAACTTTCTGCTGAGGACTTTGGGTGGAATGTGACCTTTCAGGCAGATAATAGTTACATTAAGGTAGATGTTTAACACTCAAAAATAAGGACATGAGAATTATAAGTAAATGCTTGGGCTAACAGACATCTGTGGTAAAAAAAAAAAAAAAAATGAAAGAGCACATAACTGCTTCACACAACTGGAAGTTTAGTACCTTACCCAATGAATCAGAGTTGAGTTTAAATTAATAGACAAAAAATTCTCTGGGTTCAATCTTTCAGTCTCTTCATGGGGAAAATCTCCAAAGGAATTAGTTTTGCTTGAAGGAAGGAAAATAAGGGGCAAATGCAGGCATGTGCATTTGCTGCAGCATATTTCTGCTGCTCCTTTGTGCCTCAGGGCACACCTTTGCATGCACGCTTTGGCATATGCCAAATTGTCCCTGGTGGAGTAAGGGAGAATGGAGCCAGCATCTGTGCTAGCCCTGGCAGCCTTACCTGAGGTCCTGGGGGGCTCATGGGGCAGCAGTGGCACCAATTTTGGCTGTACAGGGTCCGGCCGGCAGCCTGAGTGGCTTTGGATGGCCAGGCTCTGTTTCTGGTGGCACACGATGCTGCCACATGTGTCTCGTCACTGTTTTTTGCAGCATTTTGTTTGACACCAGGTTCTCCAGATATTTTACAGCTATCCGAGAAGTAATCACATCAATAAAGGATTTGCTAAAAATATTTGGAAACTAGCACATCATTTTGCATGACTTTAATTGTTACGTATTCTATCAGCATACATTCAATGTGCGCATGTGTGTATGCATGCGCGCGCGCGCACACACACACACACACACACATATATGTATAATTTTTGTGAATGGGTAGGGTTTGCTACTTACCTGCACCTGGGTCTTCTAACGCACTACATACACACCACAGGGAAAAATGTTGGAAATGTGACTGACTTGCCCAGCCACATTTTGCTTACATCAGGGATGAAGAAAAAAAGCTATGAAGGAATGCTGAGAACAGCAATCATTGGTACAATTTTCTGATATGGAATATCTTATCTGGAGAGACAACAAATGCAATTTTTATTTACAAAGAGTTTCTTTTGATTTTTTGCTTTTGTGCATACATGTGCTTCCCAAATAATTCCAAAATATTAACTCATGGAGTTATAGGAAGAAGGGGGTGTTCTTTCTCTTGCTTTGTACATGGTTCAGGATAGATTCATTAAAAAGTGAAAAAGACATTAAAAAGCTAGACACAACACTGAAGCTCAAGACAGAATGTCATCTTGGCTTTCTGACCTTCCCCTGAATTTCCTCTATTGTGGGTTTAAGTCACTCTGATATTACTTGAACATAGTCTGATTGCTGAGACTGTTTTATTTTTCTTAATCATTGTCTGAATATCCTTGTAAAGTGGGAAGTGTGAATAGAAAGTAATTTAAAAATTGAAAGGGATCATTCAGTTAATATTTTTTGTTTATTACAGAAAATGGACCTCATTCTGCCTTTTGAAATTGTATGATGATGATTTACATTTTATATTTTAAAAAGCAAATAATTCTCTGCCCTGAATTAGTAAGCACCTGTCTTTGGGTATCAATCCTGTTAGTGAGAATGGTAAGATACTTTTTTTTTTTTAGTTTGATAAGAGGAACACCTACAATGACCAGCTATGAGGTATTAATATAATATCATCTGGGGCCTGAAGTATTTTCTGAAGTACTGGCTTCACTGTTTTTTACCCTCTTATAACTGGAAGCTTATTAAACAAGGATTCCCTTTAAAAAATATTTTAAAGTCAGTTATGGGAAAAAAACTCATTTGATTTCATAAAAAAAATAACAATGACTAAATAAAAAAAATGGGAAAGACTTAATACTTCTAGTAAAAATGTTAGTGCCACCATGTTTTTAATGGGGAACTGAGGAAAGAGTCCATTACACCAGGAAGGAAAGTCACTAGTTACAAGATGATTGAAAAGAAAAACTCTTTTGGACTACATTACTGGTTAAAATGTGGTTTGGAATGAAGGTAGCTTTTGGTTAAAATGCCTTAGATGAGGTAAAAATTGAGTGGTATATTGCTCTGTGGTGATCAAGCCCTTCACAGCACTATTTAATTAAATTTTTTGTACAGAAAGATGGAATGGTGGCAATACAGTTTATTTCTTTTCATAAACAGTGAAAAAGCATGGTAGATACTTAAGATAAAAGAATACAGTGGAGTTGAAAAAAACCTAGGTTAAGGGTTATAATCAGGATACTTAATATTATTACAACAGCTATATAACTGATTTGTTTTCAATCACTTCATCTCACAGCTCTCTGCCAATGTTCAGATCTTAAGCTAAATAAAAGAGAAACATTAAGGCTAAGTCAACCATAACTGTATGTCACTGCATGTCTTCCCTTGAGCACTTGGAAATAATCTTATTTCAGCTTTATTTAATTTGTTTTAGCCTATGTTTAAGTTGAGAAGGTAGCAGCAAATTTTTGCAGCTATATCACAGCAGATGAGCTCTTGGAGCTGACGATACCAGTAGACAGAAGAAAACAGCAAACTTATGAATGTCTCGTATGCCCCAGCCAGGTGGCTTTTCACCCTGCTCAGTGCACTGGTCAAATTGGAAAGTGTACTGCAAGGCTATGTTTCAAGGGGATTGAACAGAAAACAATTGTCTAATGGTAAAGTCTGTGAGTCACTGCCTGGGTGCAGATTGTCTGCTGGGATTTTCTGCTGAGATTTTTGTGAGAAAAATGCTGGGCCATAGCCATGACTCATAATATTGGGAAGCCAGTGAGGTCAGGGTGAGGGATAAGCCTGTCATGACAAGTGGTTTAAAGAGTTCATACAATTACAAAGAAATCAAATAGGCATATGCATTCCTTACTTCTGATTTGATGGTGCCTTATTATTGAACCTACACAGATGACTCCTGTATTTGACATTGTGGAATTAGGTGCTTGAGAAATACCTTCATTACATAGACTATGGTTGATTATAGGAGCTGAAAGTAAGTGCTCCATTGGGTAACAGTGATGCTAGTGCTACAGAATTAGTTTTGCTGTCATTACTCTGTAGGGTAATTTGGTGACAACAAACAACAAGAAATGAAGATTGCATAACTATGTGGAGCAGGGTCATCAGGAGGCAGAAGAAAATCACAGAAACATCTAGGTAGCTATCTGTCAGTAGCTTTTCTATTTGATATAGTTTGTTGCTGTCTCACCTTATCAGGCTGGAATCAGGAACAGGGAATGTCCTTTTGCCAGTCAGATCCTCTTCTTCAGATACCAGTAGCATCTCTCAGTTGATGAGCTACTTTGCGAGCTTCTGGGTTCAACCGGCAGAACCTGGCCTATTGACTCCCAACAGTGTAAACTTCATTGTCAGGAAATAGGTAGGGAAA